AGTTTAGGTAGTATGAGAGGTGTCTCCGTCCTGTCAGATTAGACTTCACTCGCGTTTATGTCCATATCGAGAGAAAGATAAATAATCTGAATTCAGTGTGCAGTTTACTTTGACGCGGGGGTGAGCAGCAGAGGTGGGGAGAGGCGGGGCTATTGCCTCATCATTATCAGAAAATGATCGTATAGGGCGTACACACGGAGCCGTTGGACCCCCCAGAGCGTTGCGTATGCCGTTCTATCCACCTTGGGACCCGTTATCGTTTCCGCAGTCGTTTAGTGCCGTATTCGGTCGTCCTCGTGTGGCCGAACGGTCTATATGACACTAAACAGTAACGCAAACGACCGTTTTCGTCCTCGTGTGGCCGGAGCCACACAGTGTGTTCATTTAATGATGTTCACAACAGATAGTGGAGTCACAGTGGACATGACTCAATCATTCCACACATCAGGAAGCAAACACTGAAACTAACATAACTGGAGGTTAAGGGTCCAAGAAAACCAACCCGGATATCATAGGATATTTTTACTTTTTCAGCAAGTGGTTCCCTTTGGGACCCACAAATGACCATTTGTACTGCATGTCAATAACTCACCCCATGTTACTGTCTTGAAAAAACCCTTTATTTCTTGCATGCCTTCTATAAATCTACAGTCTATGCTGACTCCACGATAAACAAACACAATGTATGCCTTATTAAGCCATTGGTATGCTCCCGACTCCACTCATGTATTTTTCACTACAACCTTACGCTTTGAAACGCTTTCGCAAAGACGCCATTGTCAGCGGTAAATGTAAGAACGCTATGCAAATTAGTGGACTCAAGCTAGGCACACTATATACTAAAATTGTACGTTAACACAGAGAAGCTTGGATTACATAACACGCATAGGGAGTGGGACTCTTCCTGCTTAGGACAATAAACTACACTACATTTTGACAAAACCGACAGTGGTTTGCTGCTATAATAATTATCTGAATGATGTATAACAGTAGACCCTTTAGAAAGGATTTAGTTAACTTGGACCTTTGTAGGGGGTAACACATCAAATTGTACTCCATATTACAGAACGTTTTAGCCACTATTTGAAGAACTACTTGAGCTTCCTAATGTATGTCATGTTGTTTTACACTCACCAAATTATGCAAATGAAATGTTTAAACTGATTAATCTGGTAATTGAGAACTATCTCTCTCTACTTGTCATTGTGCCGTACATGGATGCTTTTGCAATAGGGTAATGAAATAATACCAGTTGGTCGTATAACAAGAAATGAGTGAGCAGGTTTAGCTTTAGCTCTGATAGCAAATTCAAATGGAGTCAACAATGTAAGAAGCTACAGACAACATGTATCCACAACTACCTCTTTCTAGCTAGAGACATGTTCTGTAGGAGATAGAGGAATCCTAAAACCTATTTAGAGCTTCTAAATAAAGATGGAGAAACAAACGAGGCTTATATGGACTTTGAAAAAAGTCAGAGGATAAATTAGGAGATTTTTCTGTGCTGCATTTTGTTTGTTTAGACTCTTCTTTAATGTGTGCAAACTGAGCCAAACTAACAGTTACACCCTTCCCTCTACTTATCATTTACACCTGCTGTTTCTTTCTTCCTCTTTTTTATTTTCTCTCCTCCTCCATTCTCTCTACCTCTCGCTCCTCACCCCTCTGTCTGCTCCCCACTCCCTCTCTATCTCTTGACCTGCCCATCTTGCTTTCCCTCTTCAATCCTCGATAACGTTCGCTCTCCATCACCCACCATTCCTCATTCCTGCATGTCTTTCACTCAGTTTTTCCTTCCCCGCCTTGCTCCCCATACATCTTCACACCCCCGCCACCTCCCACCCTTTCTCTCTCTGTAGTCAGTGCAGCGTGTCTAATGGTTCAGCTCCCTCTCAGCAGATACACCGAGCGGAAGCCAGGCAAACAGCAGCCCCGGATAACGCCTCCCAACCTCTGGCCTTATCAAGACTGACAGCCAGCTCGACCTAAAGCTATCACACACACATACACACACATACACATAATAGCAAAGATACAAGCCTGCACATGTACAGAGATACAAGCTGTACCGAGAAATAAATGCACACTCACACAAGCATTTGCATGCAAAACAAATGCACTGACACCGTGGTACAGGCTCAAACAGAGATATAAGTGATGCAAGAAATGCAGCTGCAACCAAGCGTACACACACACACACACACACACTCAACTGCATGACAGGAAATGTGGATGTATGCACACAAAGAGCTACAGATGCACACCTACACATATAGCTCTAAATTAAGCTTCAAAGAAACACACAGTGGACGTTATACTAGTTGTAAATGTGCAGAGGCAGACACCCACACACACACACAGTAAATTGGATTTATGGATACTGACAGTGAGCTGTAGAACAATGTGGATGCCACAACAGAGGAGAGCGGAGTTACAAGCCATGTCATCTACTATAGGAGGAGACAGGTGGCATAGGCAGGAAGAATCTAATCCACGTAGAGAAGAGGAGTAGGAAGCAGCAGCAGGAGAGAAACGAAAGGGATGAATGGAGGAACAGATTGTCAGAAAAAGTGAATGAGAGTAGGGAGAAGGAGGAGAGTTGAGGCGGATACCAAAAGAAAGCAGTGAAAGTAGAACCAAACGGGGAAGATGACAAGGTAAAGAAAGATGATGAGAAAAGAGTAAGATTGACGAGGAAAAGAAGACGTATCACTATTTTCACAGAAAGTTTGAAGTAGAGACAGGTTCAAATTCAAAAGGTTTATTTTCATATCATATACACAACTGCGGTGTAGTTATGTAATGACTGAAAAACTCTGGTCGCAGGTTTCGCAACATTGCAATTACAAGAAATACATTTTTTCTTTTTTTTAAACATCAATAAAAATAGTGCAAGCTCAGGTAGCTCAGACAAATAGGTTTCTATCCTTGTTCAAATTTTACTTTATGATATTTATATAACTGTCACCTCCCTCAATAGAGAAAAGCGCTGATTACCAATAACTGCTAGCATGTACCTGCATGCATCTACACTTACATTTGGCATATCAATTTAATTGTTATAATTCAAATCACTGAAATTGGATCTTAGTTCCTCACAACTTTTACTATTTATGTATGCCGATCAAGATGGTACAAGTATTGCAAAGCCCACCTTTGGTTTATAGGATGTACACTTGAATTAGGCAGTCACACACAAGAAATCCTTTTTCTTTAAGTACACACTTGCAAAGAGTCCTTTCCACTAGTTGTTTGGTGTGGTACTATCATTTGGCGCTGCTATCACACACAAACTCGCAAGTTTTTATAAACATGGACACTGACACACATACTACTACACGCAGGAAGCACTCAATATGGGGGACAAAAATACACCACAACCCTTTCATCGCCTACTCTCTGGGTGTACACTGTTCATAAGCTTGGTGGGGGTGGGGCATGTTGCAGATAAGGAGCCAATTGTAAGCGATTAGACCTTTTGCCAGCCAATCAGTGCAGCCCAGCACTGGACAGCAGCCAATGGCAATATGTTCAGCGCGGTGGGGGGGAGTATGCACTTACTCACACAGGAAAAGACATGTGGCCCTGCTATGGGACTGGTGTTGGGGGATATGAACTGTACACAAACACACATTCTAAGTAGCATAAATTAAGATTTCATGTTGGAAAATTAAGAAATAAGCAGCCTGCTGATCTAGTCTTGGCCCTATTCTGTTCTTATAAATACTCAATCACATAATCAACTCCAATCCCAAGCATTCAGCACAACAACCCCTTATCCAATCAATAATGTCCACATGAAAAAAGACAAGAAAAACCAATCAGGAGAAAATCACCATTTGCTTTACATTCCCAAAATGTTGACTAATATATTGTTATTGATAATAAAAAAAGTATACCCGTCATTGAATTTACATTTTTCAGGTATTTGTTAAGTTTCCTTAAAGTAGCCTAATGATTTATCTCAGAGCCTGCTTTTTTCCAACCTCTACAATATATATATACTGTATATATACAGAAATGCAAACAGGAATGTACACACACACACAACAGGGTTGTAAACAGTAAGTCAAATATATAAAAGTAAATTCAAGTATAAATGATTTTTGTGGTGATATTTGTTTGTCTTCTACAGCATCACATTGACTGTATGTAAATAACATGCTGTGTCTCGCCTTGAATCAATACGTTCAGTGTGAAGCCACTCCAGATAAGAAAGGCATCTGAATAATATTCAACAAAGCTCCTTACATTGTTGCCTGTCGTAGCCTTAATGAGTTATATTATTCACCTCAAGTGTGTTGAGGGCCTCGGAGTTGTCCTCCCTTTATAATCTATTTGTTCTCTATCTACCAATAAAAGTAACAATGGCCAACAAATGAATCTTTACAACAAACTCCTCCAACAGCTTCGCAAAAGTCAGTGCTGACACCGTGTCAGCAGATGGCGGTAGTGAGCACCGAGGCCATTCTGAGCTCACAGAAAAAAAAACACAAACAACCACAAGAAAAACCACAAAACCAAGATGGCGGTGCAAGAGACAGCATCTCAACTGTCCATGGCTCTCAAAGTCCAAGAATATCCCACCCTGAAGGTAAACAAAACCTGTCATATATGAACAGTCTTCCTAAACTGCTGTGTCCTAAACACACGATATGTTTGACGCTGTTTGGAAAATGGGGATTAGTAGTTCATTTTTATAGCGACCAAGCGAATTTGACAGGGAGGCTAACGTTAGCTGCACTAGCTTAGCTAGCAGCGTCCTTTAACTACCTGTGTTTAAATAGCATCAGCAAAGATCAAGCAGCTGGATGAATAACAAATGATGGTGGCCAGTTAGCAGGCTGTCTGCTGCCTTAATTAGTTCTTATTATTCACCTCAAGTGTGTTGAGGGCCTCGGAGTTGTTAGCCTGAGTGTGAGCCTGTTGTTTTTGACAAAATTACCATTTGACGTGTGACTTACGAAATGTCAGTTGACGATACTTATATGTTATCTAACGACAGTTGATAGCCGTTTGTCAGTTGTGTGTGTGGGCAAATGTAAAGGCCGAGCTAACCTGGCTACTTAGTTCAGTTTAAAGATTATATTTACATTATGATAACATGTTAAAACGTGTTTGCTCGTCCATTCAACAACCAGGCATGGCATTCAAAATAAATGCCTTGAAAGTGTGTTTGGCCTGCTAGCTAGTTTGGTGTGGGGGAAACCAACATAAGCCACATTTATTGTCGGCAAAGATTAAACACCCTACCAGATAACGTAACGTCAAGCATTCAAATAGTAGATGGCTGTAGGAAGGGTCGGTAGAAATCAAATCACCGTGGGGAGAGCCCGTAAACGCTGCGATGTCAGGCAGGGAATCAGCCCTGAGAGTTAGCGCAGTGTCATCAGATTGCTGCCTCTCTGCACTTCAAAATGGCCAGCGAGAGAAATCACAGCCCGCCGCACACACGCACCGTTCCTCCATTTCCACAACACGTTACTGCGACACCACTGCTAAAAGACGAGCTGAGAGAAGCTGCTCCTGGGTCCAGCCGCGTCGTCGTTTAAAAGCACGGTTGTGAGTAGCAATGTATTGGCAGCTTTTGTGTAGTGGCATGATGGTGCCATGATGAATATAACGTGTTGTTTAAGTCGTGTCTGTTCAGGAGAGCATGGCTGTGGCGATATGTCTGCCTGTGCTTGGATGGTGCAGTATAGGGATGATCGGCTCCATTTTAAGACAGGACTGATGCTTTTAATTGCTATCTAATGGGAGTGTACATATGTGTTAAGCTATATTTAGCAGCTAATATCACAATGTTGCCTGATAGATCGGCTAATCTGCATTACCAATCAAATGTACCTTGTGTTGGGTATTATGTCCTTGTGGATGGTTTTGGATATTTTCAGTCAGATTGGTGTAAGGTAAAGAAAAAACAAAAGGAAATGGTAACCCTAACTAATATATTGAACAGCCATTGGACCAGTGCTTTGTTATCCTGAATGGTGTGACAAAACGGGCCCAATTTTGAGATGACGTTGTAATTCTGCATTGTTTAAAATAATGTGTCTGTATTCGAGGTGAGTCAAAAATGGTTACACACGCTCACATTGCCTAAGCCATTAAGTTTAGCCATTTAAAGATTGTAGATATTGTCAATTAAAATAATATATGTTGCCTGATAAACATTGGGGAAGCTTCTAATCTGAATGACCAATAACATGTAACCATCATTTGGATATGATGTCCTTGTGGATGGTTTTGGGTATTATCAGTCAGATTGATGTATGGTAAAGTAAAGGCAATGGGAACCCTAATACATATATTTACTCATTTTTGTGCTTAATTGACCAGCCTTTGGACCAACGCTTTATTCTAAATGGTGTGACAATGCAGGCCCTTTATTACAGTGAGATGACATTGTAATTCTGCATTGGTTGAAAATATTGTCTGTATTCAAGGTTAGCCAAACTATTTTAGACACGCTCAATTGCCTAAGCCATTTAATGATTGTAGATATTCTTAATTATCATAAAGCTTGGAGTGGGCTTGTACATGTCTCGCATCAAATTGTGACAGACAGCCAGTCACACAGTGTCATAATAGCTGTCTGTGTTAATGACTGATTTACATGTAAATCAAGGATGTCTAAGAGTAATGCCATATATAATCCAATCCACTTTATTTATATAGCACAGTTTAAAAACAGAGGGTTTGCCAAAGTGCTTCACAATGAACATAACATTATAATAAAATATAATATTACACGAATAGATAAAAGGCACACATAAGAAAAGATAAAAAGCACACATAAGAATAAATACAAGGCACATAAAGGCTATGGACAGACAGTAAAAGCATACAAATAGGTATGACATAGCTCAGACTGACTGGTAAGCGAGGGAAAAGAGGTGGGTTCTTTAATGCTATATATTATATTGTAATAACAATGTATTTGATGGACTGTTTAAGATACATTATCCAGCTCTAAATGCCTGTATTGGCTTATCCAAGGAATTTAAAACCTTGATCACATTCTCTGCATTGATTTGCTACATTTACTTTCCTCATACATGTTAAATACATAACCACTTAAGTACAGAGGGTTACAAGCAGTTGTTACAATCTCTACAGCCCTTGGTTCTACATTTATAGTTGACTGCTCAACCTTGGTTGTTTGCATACACTGTGGATTCTATAGATATTGTATGAACTGATTTCTTTGTCTTTCCATACATCTTGATGTTATCATCACCATGTAGAGTATCTGCCCTCTGAACATTTAGTTCATGACCCTCCACATCATTTGTTGATCTATTGCCAATTGTGTTTCTTAAAATCAATTTTCGCATACCTGAGCAGAATCACTGTTTCTTTCCAAAGGACACTAATGAATATGTACTAGTGCTTACATGGATATTCCATTGTAACATCTTAATTATAGGGTTATATTCTGGGCATTAGTTTGTCAAAATGAGAGCTAATAGGTTCCATTAAAAATTCCAACATGGCAGCAAAAGGTCTTTACTGTACCATGTTTTGTGTCACTCTTCAGTGTTAGTGACCTGTGAAATTAACTTTGCTCTAACGAAAAAAACGACTTGTAATGGATCCAAGTGCTCCTCTTAGTTTTGTGTGCAGTATCTTAGAAAGGAAGCCACAATGGTCACATTTGTCTGGAGCACAGGTATCTTTAGAAGTCTCACTTCACCAAACAATGTGATCGTACATGATGGTCTTTGGATTGTATTTAATACAGATATTTAGTTTTGCCCCTACACCGGGGTCCAGGGCGGGTTTGTCTGTTTGTTAGTAAATATCACAATAAAATGTTGTCAGATTTCTTTCCTCTTTAATTAAAATAAATATTCAAGTTCTGTTAAAATGAATAAGGCAGAGTTAATTTGGGGAAGGAAACCATTTTCTCCTCATAACAGTAAGACATTATAAAAACATCTTTATTATTTAGTAGAGAAACAGTACATCGATGTGGAATTAAATGTAGCAATGATTACATATTCAGCCGTATCAAGAAAGGCAGGCTCGTTGCAGTCAGTGCTTGTGACATTTATTGGTATTTATTTGGATATACTGTTCTTGTTTACCCATTCCTAGTTTGTATGTGAACGTTTGTCTTGTGAGTGTTTTTTAGTCCCTACAACACAGGATATCTATGAACATTTCTTCTACTTTTAAGGAGAATCCTTAAAACTCAGTATCCGTAAAATTGCTTACAGCTCAGCTATCCAAACAGCTTATCCGTGTGTTCACTTATGATGCTTTGTAAAACTGTACTTGGTTCCATGCTTGCTCTTTGGTGAATTCCCAAAGTTAAAAAGCCTGTGTCGTTGTTGTTGTTGTTGCAGGTGCCGTACGAGACTCTGAACAAACGTTTCAGGGCGGCTCAGAAAAACATCGACCGGGAGACGAGTCACGTGACGATGGTGGTTGCCGAGCTGGAGAAGACGCTGAGCAGCTTCCCAGTAGTCGACTCCGTGGTGTCACTGCTGGATGGTGTGGTGGAGAAACTCAGCGCGCTGAAGAGGAAGGTGAGGGATTCATATGTACACACACACTTTCACACAGCAATGTAATCTCTACAGACCTTCAAATAGTGTTTTATGTATAGATTTGGCATATGGGACAGTAAAAAGCCAAGATATTTAGCTACACACTCCGGAGCCCCTACTCTATGAACAAACACGCATGATCCTTGTTGCATTTATTTCCCTCTGGTCTGCTTATGGCCTTGGTATGTTTTGTACTAAAACTTCTCTACACACAGTAGCATACACATTTGAATTTGTTTTGTCATCTGCAGTCTTTTCAGAGTATTCTTCTTACAGTAAACTAGAAAGCAACCCAAAAATGGAATCCCTTCTTCAATAATGGTTGGCAATAGGTTGAATGTGAGACGCTTTTGACGCATACAGGCAGTTACCCTGTGCTTGGATCACGGTTCTTTTTTGCCTCTGACTCTCAGTGTCTCTCTAGTTCAGGGGTGTCGAACTCAAGGACAAATCCGGCCCGTGACTTCACTTCCTGTGGCCCCACAAGAGCTTGCAAAGAATATAACATGTTTATTATACGGTTACATGCCGATTTACAGAAGCACGTTGCCCATAAACTACATGTCCCACAATGCATCTCAAATTTGACTTCAATTGTTTTCTTCAAAATGTCCTTTTTAAAAAAACTTTTTTTACTTTTTTCTTCAGAATTTGACTTTTCTTTTTAAATCATTTTGTGAAATTAAGACTTGCAACTTGTTGCCCTAGACTTCTGATTTCAGACGTAGTTAATTATTAAGTTATTACCCTATCCTAATAATCCAATGCAAAGGCAATAATGTAATATAATACATTATTTTATATATATTAAATATTCATAAATGTATTTTTATATAGTCTTAAAGTTACAACCGACCCTTTGAGTGCAACCATTATGCTGATGTGGCCCGCGATGAAGTTGAGTTTGACACCCCTGCTCTAGTTGGTCTAATTTTTACAATAATGGTGTTTCCTGCTATCATTTTAGTTTCAGAGGGTTGTTCTTTACAAAAAGTAATTGCACAGATGACCAGATGCTATAGAATGTTGGCTTAACATAGTGAAAGCAGCCATGTTTATGAACAGTTTATAACAATCGGGTCTTTGTTTTTACTCACTTTAAAGTGGTGACCTCGACTGGGAGGTAATTTTCCGGCCTTGGGTGGATGGAGATTAGGGCTGCACGATTTGGGGAATTTTAATCTAATTGCAATTTTTCAGAAAGATATTGCTATTCGATTTGCGATATTTGTTTTTAAGCGACCCAACGGAAGTTTATTGTAAAATGCGGCCATATCTCCGGCTAGGAAGGTCGTATCAACATGCTCCCGTCTCTAGCACCCCCCAGGGCTGGACATTAAGGACTGCCCGATGGCCCGGGGCCATCTAGTATTTAGCTCGGGCAATGAAGCCTCACCTGCTGGTTGCCCGATCGGGCAATCTATTATGCCAGTATCATGCAGCTCTCGGATCCAGTAATGAGTGACCCGACAGTAAAACTAAACATATCTATAACTAGTTTAGGTAGTTTGAGAGGTAATTAAAATAGCTACGTGTGATATTCTAACCTGAAGTGTGTGTTTTGTCCGCTCACCGCTGCATGTGATCATGCAGAGGTACGTGTCCACTCATCAGCAGCAGCTGATCTCTCTCTCCTGTCAGATTAGACTTCACTCGCGTTTATGTCCATATCGATCAGATCCAGCTAGTTCTAGCTAATGATATGACTACCTGCTTATTAAAAGACACCTAAACAATAAGTGTTGCTATGCAACTGGGTGAGGCCACAAAGTATAGCGCAGCATTATGCATTTGTTTACATGCCCACCGGAACCCCGAGGCATTACCAACAGATCAACGCACAATCAACCCATACAGGACATCTCTTTCTCCACATTAAGTGTTAGACATTAGAATTGACTATTCTTGTCTGTCACATACAGTACTCTTCTTGTCTGTCACATAAGTGGCGCAACTGAAGCGGTATTGCGCTAAAGGGAAATTATTTTGACCGAAGAGATTTAGATTTGCCGGCTAACGGGAACTCTGACGTCGCCATTTTGTGTGCTTGGCGGATGCGCTCGGCTCCTCTCGACTGCTGCTCGGGTCTGCTCGGTCAGCTTCCGGATGAGGAGGCATTCGTTCGACCAACTTACAGTAGATAACATTACAAACATTTTTAACAGAGGCCATAATAGTGTAAATAATGTTTGTTTTGGCAGTTATAACTGAATGTAATGTTTTCTACTTTTTTACATCTGGGAAGGCATTTGCCTTCATCAGATGGAAAGTGTCTTGACCAACAACTTAAGTGTTTCTTATAGCTATGCAGGGCATGCAAGCGAGCAAACACTAACAAGAACAAGCAAACAAGTGAAATGAAGAATAAAATTGAAATTGTACAATATAATATTGTGGTGGTTCATCTTATAATTCAGTCTAGAGAATGCACCAGACAGCATCTAAGACCTGCAAAAATCTAAATTGTCTAGGGGGACGGAGGCTCCCCAAACCCTTCGTGCCATTTCGTCCGCACGCATTTTTCAGGGCAATCTCTATTGGGCTCAGGGTCATCTGTAAATTAGCTTAGATGGCCCAAAATCCTTAATGTCATGCACTGCCCCCGCAGCCCGAGCTACGAGTGAAAGAACTAAACTTACATGAAACATCCGTTGGGTTGATTTTAAAGTCAAGCTTCAGTTTAAGATTCACCCTGTAATAGATGTAAAACATGTGATGGAGCATTACTAACCTGACTCGGATGGTTTGTTTCACCACACCATCTAGGAAAGCTCCATTGGAAGCCATTTGGAAAAGTATTTCAAAAATACTTGGCAGCTGATTGGATCAATCTGTCTATCAACTTCTATCATGGGCCACTTCTGATTGGTTAACAATGGCTGGTACATGTGGAGCACAGCACTTCTGATTGGTTAACAATGGCTGGTACATGTGGAGCACAGCACTTCTGATTGGTTAACAATGGCTGGTACATGTGGAGCACAGCACTTCTGATTGGTTAACAATGGCTGGTACATGTGGAGCACAGCACTTCTGATTGGTTAACAATGGCTGGTACATGTGGAGCACAGCACTTCTGATTGGTGTGGATGACTGACACACAAGAAGAACAAAAAACAAAAAAAATCGCAGGCTTTGCGATTTGATAATTGCATCATTTAAAATCGCGATTTCGATTTAAAATCGATTAATCGTTCAGCCCTAATGGAGATATAACAGGAAAACTCACACCACAGTCGCCTTCAGCTAGAGCCAGCTGTTAAAAGCCACATTGCTCGACCCCGTTGACAAAAGCACCTTATTGTTGCCAGGGTTTCTTTATGTGCATTGTGTTGGTCAGCGGTGGAATGCTGCCTGGGTGGTTCATCGATCAAGCCTTTCTAAAACGACAGAAAACAAGTGATAAAAAAAACACACTTCTGCAGTTCTTTTTAACTGTGTGCCTCTATGATGTCCAGTAACTACTTTGTGGCCAATAAACCCTGAAATCATTGAGTGGAGAGCTGAGTAATACCCGACACCATGATGGTGTGCTTGGACCAGGGGAGTGATTTTTCTCCCAAATATGTGGGATCAAACTAAGTTCAAAGCCTAAAAAGAACACTTAACAAGAGAAGATAAAGCAATACATGTTATCTAAATGGAAGTGTGCCCATAGAACAGAGTTTTCTTTTTGCCGGTCTACATGTCCGTTAAAGTTTAAATCTTCCGGACAAAATGAGAAAAGTGCCGGTCAAAGGTCTTCTTTGTTATGTATTGAGCTTTAAAACAAATTGATATGATTCGATATTAAACAAACTAATTATACTAGATTAACTACATTATTAAAAAGTGTACAGTAACTTACAATAACACGGGAATAATAAACGGAGCGCTCTCTCTCTCTCCTGACAGCCCGCCAGTATCATGCAGCTCGCGGATCCAGTAATGAGTGACCCGACCGTAAAAATAAACATATCTATAACTAGTTTAGGTAGTTTGAGGTAATTAAAAAAGCTACGTGTGTGTTTTACTCTGCTCACCGCTGCATGTGATCATGCAGAGCTGCGTGTCGACTCGTCAGCAGCAGCTGATCTCTCTCTCCCGTCAGATTAGACTTTACTCGCGTTTATGTTCATATCGATCAGATCCAGCTAGTTCTAGCTAATGATATGACTACCTGCTTATTAAAAGACACCTAAACAATAAGTGTTGCTATGCAACCGGGCGACGCCGCAAAGTATAGCGCAGCATTATGCATTTGCTTACATTCCCACCGGAACCCAGAGGCATTACCAACAGATCAACGCACAATCAACTAGGGCTGTGCATCTTCACTGGTCTCACGATTCGATTCGATTACGATTATCCTGTCAACGATTCGATTCAATTCGATATCCCGATGCATCACGATTCATACCAATGCGTTGCATCCTCAATTTTCTATATTACTGCACATGGCTTATTTTTCATCAATGCATACATGCAGTAAATACATATGAACTCTCTTTTTATTATTTAGAAAGTGCTTCAGAAATCAATAACATAAATGTCTTGACATTAATTTATAAACCAAAATAAATGAATTAGGTCTAGCCTCCCTATATCTGTGTGTGAAGTTGTTCCATCCTCAAAAACAAAAAAATAATGCTTCTGCAGTCTAGCTGCAGCTTCTAGCAACGGTCTTCTGTTAAAAAAAGGACACTGAATGTCCTGAATGTGGCATCACACACAGGACTTGAGTCTGAACACAGCAGACAACAGGAGTATTTACAATAATACTGCATGTGGGTGCACACTTACATTCTCTGTCTTACAGATCCCATGAATGTATGAGATTAAATTAGCTTCATTATATCTCAGTGATTAAGTGAATAATAAAGTTTCTATCGGGTCACTATCAGCCTGTCACTCATTATTTTCAGGGAGGGGGCGGGGCTTAGAGGAACAGAGGAGACGGTGATCGCGGAAGCTTTTTTCCTCCTGCCTTCACAAACTTTACACACGTATATATCGTCTGAAAATTGCTAGAGGACATTCATACTTTGCAATCCAAGACTTAATTAAATCCACCAAAAACCTGACATGATTGTAACGTGATTATTTTTGAAAAACATAAATCCCTGTGCCGCAGCGACACGGAGTGATTCAGAGCGGGTCCTTCTGCTGGTGGTTCTGGACTGGTGGTGTTGTGTTGGTGGATAAAGCTGACTGCTCCGTGTTTGGTGTTGCTGTGCCGCTGTCACGTCTGTTCCCTGATCTCTGCGTCACCGACCGATTTGATATTAAAGTGACAGAAAAAAAAAACGTTATAGTAAAGCCGGGGCCGGAAAATCAGTAAGCAACGCTATAACGCTACGCTATAACCGATTATCTTCCGCCACTGCATCGATACCGAATCGTCCACGTCCGCATCGCAATGCATCGTAGAAACGATTATTTTCAACACCCCTACAATCAACCCATACAGAACATCTCTTTCTCCACATTACGTGTTAGACATCAGAATTGACTATTCTTGTCTGTCAAATACTTTTCTTGTCTGTCACATAAGTGGCGCAACTGATGCGGTGTTGCGCTAAGGGGAAATCATTTTGACCGGAGAGATTTAGATTTGCCGGTCTTCAGCATATTTTACCGGTCAAAGTCCGGTAATTACCGGCTAACGGAAACTCTGCCATAGAATAGTGCTCATGGGGATGCAATCATGTACTGAACAATATAATCACGGATTACTTGACACTGTGTCCTAATACAAACCCACCATGCAGCAATGTGAATACACAGTAGGCGCGTTCACGCCGCAGTACTTTTCCCACTTTAGTTCCGATATAGTAAAGAAATGTTGCGTTCACACCAAAAAATCCGGAACTAAAACTAGTTCATGAGAACCTTTTTACCCCCTTTTCGTGGGAGAAAAAAGTTCCTATTTCTGATTGGCTGGGCGGATTGCAAACCACGCCCCGTAAAACTCCCAAAAGGTTTTGTGAAGCCGCCATTTTATTATCCTTGCATTATTAGCATTAGCATTAACCCAGCGCACAAACGCAGAGAGACTAACTTATGGCAACACCAAATAAAACATGGGAGCGGTGGAGATGAGGAGGTGTCGGCGTTCTGGCGATTTACTCGGAAGGCTTCAGTAGAAGCTGCTGGGACAGTCCCTAACTCCGGGATCTTCCGGCCGGGGACTCCGGGTGGCAGTATACACCGTGAAGTTGTTTGCGGCCTGCCAGTAAACCCAAAGCAGAAGAAGTGACGTCAGCGGTTTCATTTGCCTAATCCTCCCCCAGGGACTTATTGCGGTGTGAACGCGATCTGTACTTAGTTAATGAGAACTAAAGAGTTATCATGAACTAAGTTCTGATGAACCTTTGTGGGAGAAGTACGGTGTGAAAGCGCCTATTGTCCCTTTCCAGTTCACCTCATCACACAAGAGTTTACCTCTAGAACAGGTAGAAGCTGTTCATTCTCCTTTATCCTCAACAATTCCTCCAGAAAGAAATCTAAATGAGAAACTTATGCTACTTATTTTAGGAAATCAAAGAATCTAAAGCATCTTTACACAATAACAGGGTGTCCGCGGGGTCTTAAAAAGTATTACAAGTTGATACATTTAGCGAAAATGTAAGGCTATTAAAAGTATTAAACGGCATTTTCCAAGGTATTACATTTTGTAGCTTGTTTTCAATAAGTATATAAATTGTCCAAAGAGGTTGTATTCCACAGCAGTGGTTCTCAGGCCTCGGGACCCACTTTTTACTTGGTCAATACATCGCGACCCAACATTTTGAAGCACTCAAATTTATTCAACAAAAAATCGTGCTGTAATATATACGCTTTGCCGCATACAATATTAATAAAAGTGAAGTACAGTGCATATATCCCTTCACAGAACTAAAGAAGAGTTCTACCGCAAAGTTATTCTCTGTGGGGAAATCAGCAAAGATATGTTATTGAGAAGATGATCAATCTACAGTCTGCCTGAATGTAATCATTGCGTAGGTGTGTAGTGTGATTCTGTGTAGTTTATTCATGGCATCCCGTTGGATTTGACGTCATCTGAACAGGACATCGCACGCTCACTGCTTGATAGCGCGCGCTTATCCGTTTACGCCGGTTGTTAAACAGCATCGTTATGGGGAAATGCAAGTTTCCGTCCAAATGGTTGGAAGATGAGGAGGAAGGACAATCAATACTGTATATAGTAAAGTGTGTCGCCAATGTAACCGGTTAAAACTCGATGGGGTCTTAAAATGTTTGGAAAGGGTCTTAAAAAAGGTCTTAAAAGGTATTATATTTTACTTCAGGCTTCCTGCATATACCCTGGATAAAGGGAAAGAAAAGATACTGAGTCATTTGAACTCATGTTTTAGTTTTTGTCCTGATGCATATTCAGCTTTTCGTAAATATCCTGCTTCTTTTGTGCATGTGTGTCCTGAAGGCTGCAGAGTCCATCCAGGCAGAAGATGAGAGTGCCAAGCTGTGTAAGCGTCGCATCGAGCACCTGAAGGAGCACAGCAGCGACCAGCCGGCCTCCGTCAACCTGTGGAAGAAGAAACGCATGGACAGGATGATGGTGGAGCATCTGCTGCGCTGTGGCTACTACAACACAGCTGTTAAACTGGCCAGACAGAGCGGCATAGAGTGTGTGGTGTGTGTGTGTGTGGTGTGTGTGTGTTGTGTGTGTGGTGTGTGTGTGTGTGTGTGTGGTGTGTGTGTGGTGTGTGTGTGTGTGTGTGTGGTGTGTGTGTGTGTGTGTGTGTGTGTGTGTGTGTGGTGTGTGTGTGTGTGTGTGTGTGTGGTGTGTGTGTGGTGTGTGTGTGTGTGGTGTGTGTGTGTGTGTGTGTGTGTGGGTGTGTGTGTGTGTGTGTGTGTGTGTGTGTGTGTGTGTGTGTGTGTGTGTGTGTGTGTGTGTGTGTGTGTGTGTGTGTGTGTGTGTGTGTGTGTGTGTGTGTGTGTGTGTGTGTGTGTGTGTGTGTGTGTGTGTGTGTGTGTGTGTGTGTGTGTGTGTGTGTGTGTGTGTGTGTGTGTGTGTGTGTGTGTGTGTGTGTGTGTGTGTGTGTGTGTGTGTGTGGTCTCAAGGTCATTCAATGACTCAGGAGTTCTTTGAGTTCATATAGTGTTTTGCTTTTGAGAATATTGAAACATTAAAACACAAACTGACCCTTATGTTGTGTTCGGGTCTCCTGTGACCCGTTTCACGTTAAAATTATATAATAACTACGCTCTAGTTTTTTTTATCGGAAGAAGCCTTCATGATATCCTCCACAACAGCTATCCGTCCGGCAGTGGCTCAGTCAGTAGGGGCTTGGACTTTGAGCCGTGGTTCAAGTCCCCGACCAGACCTAAATATGGACTGCTACTTGGAGAGGTCCCAGTTCACCTCCTGCCCTGCCGTAGTGCCCTTGAGCAAGGCACCGGACCACTCCCATTGCTCCCCGGGCGATGTACAATAGCTGCCCACTGCTCCTAGTACTAGACTCCTGGTACTAGGATGGGTTAAAAGCAGAGAACACATTTCACTGTGTGTGCTGTGGGCTCTGCATGTGTGACCATTAAAGAGGGTTTCATCCCTCCCAATTCGATTCTATTCTATATATAAACACTACAAAACTTCGCCTCTCTATTGTTTTGTGTCACTCGGGGTCAAATTTGGCCCAATCAAGATTCATCTTTGACTTTAGACACCCCACCCCCTTTATCCACTGTAACAATAATTTAAAACTTTTTGGGGGGAAATTGTATTATAGTCTATTATAGTCAGATAACGTAATGATCCACTGTCTTCACTATAGGAAATATGAGTGAATTGAATCACATGTTTTACTTAAATATGTGGTGTAATGTTTGTTGGGGCCATAAAATAATATTACAACAGGATTGTACGGTTATGAATGCATAATAAGTTATTTATGATGTAGTTTAAAACAATATTGGATGATAGTCATTATTTTGGAGTGTTTTGGACTGAGATAAATCATGGGTCAAAATTGACCCGCAAACACCATGAACAGCTTTCGAACACAACACAAGGGTTAAACTGTCCATTTATCCTAATACTAGGGCTGTGCAATTAATCGTATTTTAATCTCGATTACGAATTTGGCTCGCAACGATTATGAAAACAACGTAATCGAAATAAAACCATTATTTGTATTTTTTTTTTTTTTATGTAATTGTTTTTTTTTTTAAAAATTCTGTTTAATTATACTTAAAGTTCAGGGTAATCAACTGTTAAACACATACTGTTCCAATTATTTATTTATTTCAATAAAAAGTAAATGGATAATCGTTTTTAATAATCGTGATTATGATTTTTGCCAAAATCGCACCTAATACACATATGTGACCTGCTCCATCGAAATCAGTCGCATTTACCCGAAGACACATTTTGTATACACTGTTAGAAAGAGGATATTCCTAGCTTTCTAATGATATCAGGATTGTTATTGTACTCCAAATATTAAGCAAAATATGTCACATGATATAATGACTGTCACCGAGTCATCATTTTGAGAATATTGAAATGAGCCGTTGCGACTTCCGACTCATTTCGATAGAGCGGGTCACATATGTATGTTTGTGGTGTGACTTGTCTCGTCCTATTTGTTGAATGTTTAATTAGTAAATTATAGGAATGCCTGGATCGATCCACTTCCGATCGTTATCTGCCGATATTCATTCAAATTAGAAACTTAAAGGATCGCCATGAATGCTGTTTATAATTGCTGATAAAACATTGTACAAAAACATTTCAGTGTCGAAATTGGAGAGATGTCTTAGGTTAGCTGATTGCATGCGGAGGGAAGTACAGTCCTACTTAAATAACAGAGCTAATGTTTAAGGACGTTGCGTTGAATTGCATCACGATGTGTAGAAAGCTCTATTAACTAGACAAGAGTATTGGACCAAGGTCAATTATATTATTATCATGATATGTTCAAATGTCATCTTGTAAATGTAAGTTTTTGGCAATAAAATTCAATTAAAAAGGGAACAGTTTTCTGGCTGCTGTCTAAACTAATGCCAAGATTTGATAAATCTGTTTTTTTGTCTATTATCATTGACACATCCACTCTGCCGTATTTCAGGATCTGGTCAACATTGAGATGTTCCTCACGGCGAAGGAGGTGGAGGAGTCTCTGGAGAGGCAGGAGACGGCCACCTGCCTAGCCTGGTGCCATGACAACAAGTCCCGGCTCCGCAAGATGAAGGTAGCTAATTTCACTTTTACCTCACCAGTCCAAGTTTGACCTAACAAATCCTTAAATGCCATGCGCATGAAAAACTAAAACGTGACTACATAGGTTAGGTCGATCATTTCATCATCAAGCAGAAGGATATGGTCAAGTTAGTTTTATAGGTTGTACATTTCTGCCCTTTCTAAACAAAAATCCTCAATGTAACACTCTTTGTGCTCAGAAACAGACCTGTTGAGATTCAGTTACTCCTCCTGGGCAGCAGCAGCAAGATACCGTGTTAATCCTCAGATTATCCTATTGAACCAGAAAGTACTCAGTAGAGCAGACCTCCACCATGACATGGTAAGCCTCCCAGGTAGCTGTTGGCGAGTCAACCCTGAACTGCATAGAGGGCAGAACATATATGTGACCCGGTCTATCGAAATCAGTCGCATTGACCCGAAGACACATTTTGAGTTGTATACAGTGTTGGAAATATTCCTAGCTTTCTAATGATATCAGGATTGTTGTTGTACTCCAAATATCAAACAAAATATGTCACATTATATAATGACTGTCACCGAGTCATCATTTTGAGAAAAAGGCCTTTTTAAAGTTTCCTCTTCTCTGAAATCCATCGATCTGATTGATTATTAGCGAAGCAAATTATCAAAGTACGGAGGGAACATATTTTAGTTTGGAATACTGGTCTGGGGAAGCTCGCGTGTTTGTGTGTATTGTGTTTGTTTCCCGGGGAAAACACTCACGAGAAACACCGGCTGTTGTTATGCCTGCCGTTCTCCGCTTGTAAATATGCCGAAGCTTCAAAGTTGTATTTATCATCTGAATTTGCCAAAACAAGTTTAATATTCTGAAAGCCAAGACTTTGTTTATTTGAAATCAGATGAATACAAACTGTAACGGACCCTGCCGTGTTATCTATGATTACTATACGCCTTACATTCATCTTTTCAGCGGGAGGGAGGGGTAGCGGCGCAGCGGAACAGCAGAGTGCGAGGGAGAGCTGTCTTCTTCCCTTTACAAGCTTCAAACATGTATTTATCGTGTGATTTTGGAAATAAAAGTTTCATATTCTGAAAGCTTCCGACTGATTTCGATAGAGCAGATCACATATGTGGTTAGTCCAAGTTTGGGATGCTGACGCTAGGGAATTTTACATGAGAGCATTTATGAAATTTGGTCTGGCATTTCCAATTCACTGCGAAGACAGGAAGGTTTAGTTCAAGCAGAAACATCTTTAGGATCAGGTTGTTTTTAAACTTCTGTAAACCCATGTGGATGATTTAAATATTGAAAGGCATCTTGAGAATTTGAGTGTGGGTATGTTCGTTTTTGCCACCTGCCTGCTATCAAAGTTTATATACGGCAACATTGTTTTTTTTTAATCAATAATGAGGATTTTGCAGCTTTGTGTTTTAAACTCACTGGCATGTTTGGTCTGTTTCTTTGGCAGAGCTGTCTGGAGTTCAGTCTGAGAATCCAGGAGTTCATTGAGCTCATCAGACAAAACAAACGCATGGATGCAGTCAGGTAACACACTCGTGGGCATTACACACACACACACACACAGTTTCAGCTTTTAAACGTGCATTGTTTTAAAGCCACTTAAACAAACATACCCCCCTCTGATCTTCTTCGTGTGTCTCTCTGTCTCTCAGACATGCAAGGAAGCATTTCAGCCAGGCGGAGGGGGGGCAGCTGGATGAGGTCCGGCAGGTGATGGGCATGCTGGCATTCCCATCAGATACACATATCTCCCCATACAAGGTAAAGCCTTCATTCATTTGAATATGTACATGTTTGACACTTTATTTGGTGATACCCATTACACACACACACATCTATGTATGTTCAACATTATGGTTTACTCATCTGAGATTCACACGCTAAAGATACAACGCATAGGTAGCCATACCATGTATAGAAAGAGTCTGTCTGAATTGTTAAAGAGGGATAACAGGTTCTATTATCAGTCCTTTCTATTTCTTAGTGTATTTTATTATCACACTGCCACCTGTATTCTTGACGAGCACAAAGAGCCTACTCCCTTTAATAGCGAATTGTAACAAACAAGCCTAAACTAAGGTTTTCTCTGTGCTTTCTCTAACATTTGGAAACTTCTCGTTAACTTAGCTGCTGACTCAGGAGGACAGAAGACGACGTGAATGTGTGAAACCGACTGATGTCTGTGTTTTTCATTCTTTCAAATCAGGAATATGTTTATTTAAACATTAGATTTTTTTCTTAGATATTAATGAGCTTATATAATGACCGGTGCTGCTCTAGAATCAACATATAGTTATATTTTAAATCAATTGTAACGATGCTTTGAATGTATATTTTTATAACATATTTGTTTTATTGTATTAGTAAGAACACATAAGCACAAACTATCATAAGGAGTATCAATAAAAGTAGTAGTTAACCAATCCTCTGACCAGAGATGTGGTATAGCACAGAGCGGCCACTAGAGGGCATCGGCTCCCTTTTCAAAAAATAAACTCAACTCCTTCGCTGTCCTCGGCCAATGTTCATGGGGTTGCACATTTCCAGCTATGGCTTCATTATTTATGTTCTCAATGTTAAACTTATGGTCAGTTATCAATTCACATTCGTAAACAAATGTTATGACTTACATTACCTTAAGTGTAAGAAATAAACACATATGAGATATTTGAATAATCAAGCTCTGAAAGACAATGTTGCTGCCCCAACAGTTTTAAGGGATTTAACTGTAATATCATTTAGAAAATGCATCTATATTACAATTAGAATTCATTTGAGTGAAAACAGTTGCTTCGTGGTAAGCTCAGTACAAAACATTCTCGTCTGCATAGCCTTCACCATGATGTTGTATTACATTAAATATCCGGTTTCCAGATTAGTCTAAAATAGTGTGTGTGTGTGTTTGTTTAGAACATCCTGGCTTCACTAAGCCTTTACTGCTACTTTCTCTGCTGTGTGTTGCTGTTTCCATCGCCTCAGTGAATGCAACTTAGTCCAACATGTTTGAAGAATAAACATAATTTGTGTCGGAGACAAAATGTCCTCTTGTGAGCACAGTCTGCACCTCGCTGCACGTGCATTCTCAGAATAACAAAGCACTGGGTCTGAAGTCAGCTTCATTTTTCCAGGAGTTTGTTTCAGTTATATAACGCATACATTTGTAAACACTCTGGTGTCTGTCTTGTTTTTTCCCTATCAGGATCTTTTGGATCCTGCCCGCTGGAAAATGCTGATCCAGCAGTTCAGATATGACAACTACAGACTGCACCAGCTGGGAAACAACTCTGTGTTCACTATCACTCTACAGGCCGGTCTGTCCGCCATCAAGACACCGTATCCTGCCATATTTTACTCCAAATAATACATTAATTAGGCCCTTTTTGATATCATTTTCTAGGACCAACATTCATTCATCTTTTTTTAGTCAGGATAACCAGTCAAGCCCCCAGGAAGTGCGCCGGACTCTGAGGAAAATATTCGTTTGTGGCCAAACGGCGTTACCACACTTCCCGATCAGTCGCTGGGCCCGGAAAGACTTTTTCCCATTGACTAACATTGGGAAAGAGACGTCAGTAAATCGTTGGATAATTTTTTTAAACTAAATAAACTACCCAGTATGAACACTTGTATAGCCCTTATTAAAAACAGTCAGTCCTCAAGTTGTAAAATGTGCTAATAACATTATTCTGAATTATTTTCCTCGGCATTATGAACGCGCATCTAACCCACGGGACCGCGCAGCCCGGCACATGTGACGTGTTCAGTACTACATGCGTTTTACCTTTACCCATGGATGCACAATAAGAACGGATTATATGAATACTTTCGTGACGTTTCGCTCTCTCAAAAGTTGGGCCATTTTGTCTTCATGCGCCACTGAGCAACTCTCAGGAATGAACGAGGCCCCGCCTCCCACGCTGTATCCAGTTCTTATTATACATCCATGCAACCACTAAGGTTATAATGTAAGTTTAAATGTTATCAAATTAGGTCTTGAATACACATGACCTTTTCTCTTTGACTCCACTGCCTAATCAAAATGGAAGTGCTCGACGCTTTCTAAATAGTTTTTGATGTTTCTTTCCTCTGAGCCTGTCACCCATGGTAACATTGTGTATTCAGAAATGATTTCACTTATTTTCCTTAACCTTAATGCGCGTTCCAGTCAGTGCTACAAGGAGGACGGTACCTCTAAGAACCCAGACTGCCCGGTGTGCAGTAAATCCCTCAACAAGTTGGCCCAGCCGCTTCCTATGGCCCACTGCGCCAACTCCAGACTAGTGTGTAAGATCTCTGGGGAGGTCATGAACGAAAACAACCCCCCGATGATGCTGCCTAATGGATATGTCTATGGTTACAATGTGAGTACATTGCATTAGTAGATCTTAAAGTACAGAGATCATGAGATAAAGCTAGTTCGGCCTATAGTAACTCACATCAATTCACCCCAGAATAAAAATGCCTTGTTTGCCTCTCACCTGAGTAGCTATTTATCAATTTAAATAGTTTTGGGGTATAAAGTAAGTGTTGGAGATATCTGACGTAGAGATGTCGGATGTGTTGCTCAAAGTTTGAAAAAAACATTTGAAAAACTGAACAGCAATGTCTCCAATTTCCACAGACATTGTGAACGGTTAGATTTAGGAACTATTTTGATTTCCATCTAACTACACCCGCCAACAAAATAAGCGTGAAGAACAAAGCGTGCATCTACTCATGACAGCTTTTGTCTTGGGGTGTAGTTGGTTAGAAACAACAAATAGTTCACAAAATATTTTTGAATATCTCGAGTTCATTATATGTGGAAAGTGTCGGTTTTTCAACACCACAAGCCAAGTGCCATAAAGTTCCATTATATGAATGAGAAGAAAGGCTCCAACACATTAATGGCACTACAGGTATGAGGGAAACATGTATTTGTATATTCTGGGTGATGCCTTTAAATTGAATAATGGGAGCAAGAAAAGCAATGGATGTTTGTTGTTCTTTCTCATTTGTTTTCGGTCTGCTTCGTATCTCCTTCAGTCCCTTTTGTCCATCCGCCAAGATGACAAAGTGGTGTGTCCCAGAACCAAAGAAGTCTTCAACTTCTCTCAGGCTGAGAAGGTTTACATCATGTGATCACCCAGATAACCCGTCTGAGGATTAACATGATCGCATACATCGTTCATCACCTGGCTTACTCAGAGAGCCACCTGTGGAGCTGTGATCCAGAAACCCCCCACCCTCCCAGACACACCCGGCATTTCTCACTACCCCCCCCCCCTCCTCAAACACGATCATCTCAAGTTCTTCAGTTTCTTTCTTCCTTTTATTTTACCACACAGAAACTGGGATCCTCTCCTTTCAGACTGAGAAAGAGGTTGAATGATCTGATTCATTGAAGCACATGGACTATCCACATCGTCATGATCTCAAAGGCCCTCGCTGTGAAATTTACAGAACAAGGACTGAGGGGATGAAAAACTGCTAGTTAGACGTTTGATTTTATTACAGCAAATAAAAAAACCTTGTTGAGGTTATTTTGACTGTGTTCTTTTGTTACTAAAATAACATGCAGGTCTGTGGTAACCGGCTATCCATATAAACACATGACTTTTGGGCAAAACAAACATGTCTGCCTCCTGTTCGTGTGGTAGCATCTCGTTCTGTAATGCATGCTGTTGACATCCTTTGTCTTCTAGCCATGTTTTTGGGTGGATTGTTGGGGGGATATATGTTAAATGCCTCTAGTAAACTGCCTACTTTCTTTGCATTTCATCCCCCTTGGTTGTGTGAACCGGAGCCTGATTTGGGCCGCTGTAGGCTCCTTTTCAAATGTAAATATTAGATAGGAATTGATCATCCTCGTGTGTAAATTCAGAGGTTTTGGGGACAAGTTACAACGACAAAGATTAACTTTCTACAAAGATTGCTGTGTGAAATGAACAAGTCTTTTTTTGGTGGCGTTTACCTCAAATTGGATGTTCAGTAAGACTTCTCACTTCTGAGGAAGCTTTCATTATTCAACAAACTTTTAAACATTGATTATGGTGTATTTACTACCATAATGAAGTTTACACAACATTCAAACAAGACAACCATCTTTGATGTTTTTTAAATTGAGCAAATTGTCTTCCTTTTTTGTGTTTGGTTTGCCATTTTTAGTTAATTTCAACAAATGTCTCTTCTTACTTCAGCTATAATATAACATATTTATTTTTGTTTAAAGGTAAAACCCTAGATGTGTTTAGTTAATTCAACATTGCCCAAATAGTTTTAATTTCATAACTATTTTTCCAACAATTAACAAAATAATAGACACTGCTGATATTTTTTTCTCTATGACTTTAAAAACCTAATGTAGATGACGGATGGATATGTGATCGGACCTAGATGTACACAAATTCGGACTCAAGTGACAACTAATGCACAAATTGTGAAGAATTTACCCGTAAACACCCACACTAAGAAATCCAAAAATGCATTTTTATGTTGATCAGTCTTTTGGTCAATCATTTCTTCCATTTTTCTTTTCTTTCAACAAACCAAAAGTTGCCTCATTTGTGTCCATTAATGATTTGGAAGTGTATCTGTAAACGACACAGACTGCCAGTGTCCTGTGTGTTTGTGTTGGTAGATTAGATAAAAGGATTGTTTCATGAGCAACATGCCTCATAAAGATTTCAGTGAACTTTGTTTTCAGTCTTTCATTATTTTTCTCCTTTGCTCGGTCGGCTCTTAGAGCAGCATTACCATGAACCCTGTTGGGTGTGATGAGATTAACGATTCAATGCATATTTTGTTGACATGGAAATGAAACCAAGTGTTGTGTCTTTCACCTGAAACTTAATCTCCATGATCTGAAGAGGTCAGCGGTCTGTTTTGGTCTAGCAGTGAAAAGCACTCTTACAGATGGTAATTAACTGTAGGGTCGAATCCTTTCTCTGTAACATGAATTTCATGTAAACACATAAGCAAGACCAAAGGACTAGGCACTTAAAATGAGATGTGGCAGTACAATTGTTCCTTTATATCTGGTAAAACTAAACCTTGACTTTGTGAGACTAAGAATTGTCTTCCAACATGGGGTTTTTGTCTACCCTGTTCCAATTAAAACTAGGTTGTTTGGGGAGCGGCAAGCGGTTATCAATTAATTGTCCCGTTATTAAACAATTTGGGAATTAAACAATTGATTATAATGTTTAGAAAATTATGAAAAAAGCTTGCTCATTGTTTCATCTTAAACGTTTATTTTTCACCAAACCTCTCAAACCATAACATATTTAAATGAAGTGGCAGAAAACTAATCGGAGCAGCTCAAATCAGTTAAGCCGGTGGCTGAAACATACTTTTTTTTTGCTATATTATATTCATTTTCTACTAAACTAGTTTTTTTAACTCTATTTTTTATGATTTTGAATAGACCTGACTGCAAAAACCCAAGAAATTATCCCATGTTGAATTAGTAGATGTTGTTTTTTACTAAGTGCCATAAACCTACTAACATTTAAACATTTAAAGCCAGTTCACTAATAGCCAGTTTGGTTTTGACTTTTCACACTAACCAAGCTAATTACTAAAATGAAGATGTACAATCATAAAGGCACTGGCTCACATTGTACACTTTTTTCACACGAGATATACCTTTGCATTACATGTTTGGTTGAGAACGTGGCTTTGGTTTAAACTTATGTGCTCATTATAAGCCTTAAACCATATAGAAAATGCCATGACCCCATTCAGAGGCATAATAGCATTTGACTTACTCGGCTGGGGGAGGGGTTCATGTGTTGGACAAATCCGAATATAATCGGCAGAAATAAAGGCATAAATGTTGCAATTCCAACGCGTAGATTTGTGTTGGTTAAGGATATAAATAATACATCATCAAATTACAAAGTTGAATGGATCCATTTTGAAAACAAGCGTGCGGCAACGACTGTGTGCACGTCATAAGGCTCAAACGTAGTGTCTTTTTATTGTGTGTAGTATTTCATAAATATATATTTTCTTACTTTTATATTTCAATGTGCTTTGGTATGGTGGTTTAGAGGTTTTAGACATAGTCTTCTTTTATTTTTTAAACATAACAGCTGCGGTCTTTGTTCCCCCCAAAGAAAGAGACTTGAACCGGAAGAGGTGTTGCGAGCTGACGTCACACGACGTCCTGTATAAATACAGCTGCGTTCTTCTCTCGGCATCATCTCGAGTCAGTGCACAGTTTTCCGTAATTCAGCAAGCCGTGAATCCAACGATGACTGACCAGCTTTGCAAACTTTTTGTCGGAGGTCTCAACGTTGACACCGACGACGATGGTCTTCGCAAACACTTCGAGCAGTACGGTTCCCTCACCGACTGCGTGGTAGTGGTGAACAAGCAGCTGCAGCGCTCCCGTTGTTTCGGCTTTGTGACCTACTCGACACCGGAGGAGGCCGACGCAGCAATGGCGGCAAGGCCTCACACAGTGGACGGCAGTGGCGTGGAGGTGAAGAGGGCCGTGGCGAGAGAAGACGCGAACAAACCAGAGGCCCTCGCCAAGGTTAAGAAAATCTTCGTCGGTGGATTGAAAGACGACATCGAGGAGGAACACCTGACCGAGCATTTCTCCCAGTACGGTGAAATCGAGAAGGCCGAAGTCATTTCGGAGAAGGAGACGGGGAAGAAGAGAGGCTTCGGCTTTGTTTACTTCAACGACCACGATGCCGCAGACAAAGCAGTGGTGGTGAAATTCCACACCATCAATGGACACAAGGTTGAGGTGAAGAAAGCCCTGACCAAGCAGGAGATGCAGGCGTCCGGCAGGAGCGGGATGCAGCCGAGGGGCAGAGGGGGCCGAGGCATGCGGGGAAATCAAAATGGCTACGGCGCCAGAGACTACAGCGGAAACTACAACTACGGAAATGGCGGAGGCTATGGCGGCGGCGGAGGATACGGAGGGGGCGGCTATGGTGGTGGGCCATATGGGGGTGGTGGTGGTTATGGAGAACAGGCTGGCGGCTACGGAGGTGGAAACGGCTACAACGAGTTCGGCAGCGGGTATGGTCAGCATTCTTCCGGCTACGGGCCCATGAAAGGGCCACCTTTCGGCGGGCAGCAGAGGAGCGCGGCTCCCTACACCAGAGGCGGCGGAGGAGGAGGAGGAGGGGGAGGCGGCGGTGGATACCCACGAGGGGGCTACGGAGGCGGCGGATACTAATCCAACCACCCCATCCACTGCCATCAATTACCTCCAGGATTTGGACACCAAAATAAAATTCGTGAAATGCCGTGAATCCAACAATGGCACACGGACACAGAGACCCCATAATCACCAGACCTCCCAACCCCCAACAGGTAGGAAGGTCACTTCCCAGAAAACCTGATAATAACGAGCAGCTGTTGCCGTTCAACTAGGACATGTTAATGAAGAATAAACATACAGCGATCCCTTTTTTTATTATGTACCCACGCTAATGCGTGTAGTTGTCGTTTAGAGTTGAATATTATTTTTTATTTGCGATATTCGTTGTTTTGCAAATTCCGATGTAGGATTGTTTTCCTGATTATCCTTATATTTGCATTTTTAAAGCAATTCGATTTATGTTTTGTGGAGTTCACTTTTCAATGTACGAGGATGAGAAAGCATGTCTTGTGGTTCTGGATTTCATAGTTTGTCATACTGAAAATTACATCCAACTTGTATGAATATATTACTTTGGCCATTCAGCAAAAGGCGGGAACGTGATACTGCAGGATCCAGTTTTTGTTTCCTCCCACTGTACTCAAACTCTCCTCACAAATAGTCATAGTTTCAGTCTAAATATTGTTCATTTTTCATTTACCTGTAGCAATATCTAATGTATATTGTATACTTTCATGTCTGGAGAACAAAACCTACTGTTAAAAAAACTTTGGTATGCTTATGTATGTTCATTTTAAATAAAACGTTATACCACTTAGCTTAGTTTACTTTACTTATTATTTAACCAGGCTTCCTAAAGTTTATTTACAGGTTGTTAAAGGAACATCATCTTGATCCTTTAGTTACATGGCATCTACTGTAACAGTTTTTCCCCTTACTCTCAGGTGGGTAAATGGTTAAAGAATATGTAGTCTACCCACAGCCAATGCATGTAGGCTCTGTAGGGTTTGACCTTTTTTTTTTTACATTAAATTATGTGTTTGTTTTTTTTAGACCTTGCTAATGACTCTTATTTTTTACATTTTCCTTTTACACATTTGACTACATATCAATTTGTGGACATGAGGGCTCTGATATTGAATAACTATTCCTACTTCCTATTAGGTGTTCTTACTCGTATTCCAGTATGCTTTCCCAGCCATATAGCCGTAGCAGTTTGTTTGTAGGCTACATCAGGACCCTGTTGATTACCTGGGGTCGATTGTGATAGGAGTCTGAAATATCTCTTTAGGATATCCACATCCAGCAAACTAGGTATGTAAATCAACCTGTCTTCACTCTGTGTTGGTCAACCATGTATGGAATATCAACTATAAGATGGCTCACAAGTGTGCCATTATTTAAAATCCTATTGAACAACTTAAGTTACAATTTATACACCTCAATGCGTCTTCATATAGCTAATCTTGTATTGAAAAAAAAATGGGGGGGGGGGGGTGTGGGGTTACTTCATTTGGTCTTAAATTATCTTTAAGTGGGTGGAAGGGGACCCAAATGTTGTTCCACCATTAAAATAGACAACGGAACAAGTACATTGGTGTCTCTTCCAGAAAACTCTGCAAAGCCCAGTATCTCACTCTCTTTCTCTCCCATCTTCTCCAGGTTGCTACGGTAACCTGGGCATGAGGCGTCACCCCGAAAAACACTTGGGGTGTGTGTCTCCCCGCCGACGGGCAACTGGAGAGCGCTTGTGCCCTTTCCCCCTCAGGTGATGTCAGTTTTCACAAAGGATTCCTCAATGTGGTCTAAATGCATAGGAGTCTGACCATGGGTTTTATTCTGAACGGCTTTATTGACTATTTGGTGCATTATGTTTTGGAGACATTTGATACCACAGTGCCCCGGTGCAGTGTAAGCGTTATTTCCCAACATCGAGCAAATGCTATTTTATTACAGATTTTAATCTCTTTTTTTAGTATGTGAATATTTTATGTGCTGCAATAAATAAGTTTCAAAAAATATATTTATCTTTTCTCTATTCATTATGACTTCTCAGATTTATTTTAGGACTGCTTACACAAGAGTTAATGCTGACCAGGAAGAGACCATTTGCACTTGGGTACTGTGGATTTCAAAAATAAAACTTTTATTGATTAATAGTTTGTGTTGTGTTTTCAATAAGTTAAAAGTTGTTATTTTTACATCTGGTACAAATTAAGTGTCATTGTGCCAAAATTCCAATATAACAAAACGAGAGAGCTTGAAAATGAGGTGATCAAAAGCCACATGCGTGAACAGCCCCACGTGTTTCTTGCGTAATCAGGAAGTAGAGGCCATGACCTGCAAGCTACGGGGCGTATATTTTACAAGAACTTCCAGTTTGGGCTGTTATTGGACAACTATCATAAACTGGGTTATGTTAGGCTCATTGCTCAACCTCATTAGGGTTCAGTTTTGTCAAATTGATGTTAAACATGTACCCTTTCTGAAGGTCTAGTGCCTGAAGTGGTTCGAGCAGTGAAGAATGAAAATGATAGCAGTTAATCTTAATCTGATATTAATACTGTACGGTTCTGTTCAGAGGATTGTGAATGTTCCTTAATTGCAATGCACTTCAGCGTTTGAAGACAATTTTTGTTATGGTTGGTAATGCGTGAGAGTTTGAAATGGTTTTATCTGAATTTTACTGGAAAGATACATATTTGAAGTGCCCTCACACATGAAGACAGAAATTAGACTTTGGAAAATAAGCTCAAGTAACCATAAGAGCTCAACAATAATCTCTTGATGAACAAACAATACATCTGACAAAGTCTTTGATTTACCTCCAACAGCTGAAGGTGGAACATTAAACTGGCAGTTTAAGATTTAGCTGGATGAACGTAATCGAACAATTAATGTAATTAACATAAGAGGTAATTACAGACGTAATTCCTCAGTCAACATTGGAGGAAAGGGTCTTGTCTGATGTACTGTGGCGATTCAGGGAGTCTAGTGTCACCATAACTTGTTGCTTTAAATGCGTGATTAATCCTATGTTATAGTGGGAATGTACATTTTACTTTTGTTCTTTTATAGGATAATGGTGGTTAAGGATTTCTGATCATCCCATAGGAGAGGAACCATCTGTTATATCAGCCGTGCTTTTTATGATTCTACAATAAATTATATATTTGTATACACCACTTGTTATGTTACTTATTTACATCCAGGATAGTTTGGTTGCATGTCCCTGCGTGATCCCAGCCAACCAACAAGGTTCAAAATCAGCAGACGAGGCCAACAATCTGGTTGGTCGTTATACTCACTTACATTCAGACAGGATTTGGATTACCTATTCAATGCTGAACATGTTCGGTGCTGGTATAAGTGACACACTTCACAGTTCTGGCTTTTTGACTGACAAAGGATTTATAAAGATACTTTTTGTGTGTCAGATCCATGTTAGGGCTGTCCAAGAATCTGGCCATGTTATGAATAGTGATACAGGGGGTTTATTTTAAAAAAATAACTTTCATCGTAAATGCTTTTTTTAGATCAACAAGAACAATGGGATCAGTGTTTATCACAGTCTATAAATCTGATTTCAGATAAGAACTTTTTATTGTGCAAACACCTTGGGTAAAGCTATAAAACTGAGTGGCTATGTCACATGCAACTTTATAGACAAATAAACGAATAAGAAGTGCAAAAGTGTTTTTTGAGAATCAAAACAATATCACAAATCAAAGGTATCAATTACACTTTTTCATTAACATCGTAATTTAATGCGTACTGGTTTTTTAACAGCAGCTTTAATATGCATATTTCCACAAATATTTTTTTGCTATTTCAAATGATTTTTCATGTTAATAAACACCAGAACTTGGTCACCAAGTGGCATTGTGTGTACCCTTAAGGTCCAACCCATTTATTTAGGGGTAATTACAAGCAAAAGTAGAGTAAACCCTGCATTTGTTTTTATCCATGTTACCAGTTTGCCCCATTGGCTCACCTGAAGGTCAGTGGAGTAGTGTGTCATCATTGGCAGGATTGGGTATCAAGTGTATTTGCACAGGACAAACATAACTTATACGAACTTCACCGTTTGCAAGCTATGCAAGCCGCCTTTGAGGCACAACACAGGACACAAATGACCCGTATAATGTTGTTTCTTTGCTATATTTTTGGAGATCAATATATTGAATCATTTTGTATACCTAGTCTTCATTCAATATCTTGTCATAAATCATTATATATGCATTCTCCCTTTCTTAATTTATGAACAAAAATATTTATAGTGTTACCACATCAAGTTCACACATGGGTCGAAAATGACGTGATAAAAATGTAAAAAATACTTTTGGTTTCTTCTTCGCACTGTTGTCCTCCACTGTCATCATGCATGGTGCTCGAGAGGACAACAGCCTAACCCACCTTTGGCACAGCTCATGTTGCCACTGAATCTAAATTCTGAGTTATGCATATCCCTCGATTTGGAGGGTCAAGTAATGTTCATATATTATGTACAGTTATCTTTCACAACATATCAAAGATGTTCTTAGGTCAAATGAGACGTAAGTTAATCAAATCACCGTGAGGCATGTGAGTGTTGTCCACCGTAAACATAAATAAATACAAAAGTATTGTTATAGTACGTCTTTTAATTATGTTATCACACTTGGCATACATGGTTCATTTTTGACCAATGTGTAAACCTGATGTAGAAATACAAAACTATTTCAGTTCATAAATTAAAGAAAGGGAGAATGAAAATAATGATTTTTTGTAATCAAAGACAAGATATTTAATGAATACTTTGAATATTAATGACCAATTATATAGGTTTTAAAAGATATAGCAAAGAAACACTCAGCATGCAATAAATAACCTACTAATAGGAACATAATACGGGTCATTTTGGACCCAGGTTGTGCTTTAGATGGAGGGTAGTGAGACATACATTATTGTTATTCAAAAAGTAAGAAAGGAAATGTAAAAATAACACTGATTAATTCCTGGAATTCTGAATGATTGAAATTATTTATTGCAAAGATATTTACAATTCAAACTCACTTTCGACCCATGTTGTGTATCAAAGGGTTAAAACCCCCTCTTCAGAGCCTATAAGAAGTCAATCTACACAGAGTGCCTTGTATGTTCGGATAGTTCAATTTAGTAATCATTTACATCAAAGATAAGAAACTGAGCATAGCTGTAATCAGAGGTGGGAAGTAACTTCGTACATGTACTCAACTACTGTACTTAAGTGCAACTTTGAGATACTTGTACTTAAAATGTCCATTTTATGCTACGTTGTACATCTACTTCACTAAAAGCACACTAAATTGTGTAGTTTTACTCCACTACATTTATTTAATATCTTTAGTTACTTTGCGGATTTTGATTAATGATGTGAAATATAGAACACTTAAAAGACACACCTGGAGTACATTCACAAGCTACTCAGCAGCATACAAAGGAATCTAAAACTAGCCGCACCTTTACCTGCTTTGATAACACTTTCATTAATCAATAATCATTATTATCATATTCTGAAATGCGCCAATCGGCATAGTGAGTTTATTTTGGTACTTTAAGTACTAATACTTTTTAACTTTTACTTGAGAAACATTTTGAATGCAGGACCTTTACTTGTAACAGAGTATTCCTCCTACACTGGTACTTCTACGTTTACTCAAGCACAAGTTCTGAGTACTCCTCCCACCTCTGGCTCTCATTTTTGAATACATTTGAAACAAATAAGATAAAATCATATGGGTTTTTTAAAAGGTGGAAGTTATGTGGCAAAAACTGCAGGGAGAGCTTTTACAGCTATTGCTGAAAACAGGCTTGTTGCAGCATGTATTCAAATTATTTTAAACTACTTTGAAGAAACACTTCATTTACTTTTTCCAGCAGCCTGGGGGGAGGGGGTTGAGTAGTTTCACTCTCTGTAAAAAGACTGACTTCAGCTATCCTAAACTGTACACCAAGGCAAAAAATAACCCAAGTGGGTCAGCGCTAAAAACAACTTTTATGTGTTATTTTGATCAGTGTGTTGTTGATCCCTTTATTATATTTTACTGTTGGATCTAGACCAGTGTGACCGGTTCCCCCTGTAGGATAAATAATAAGTGGCAAGAGGAAGTTCCGTGAGGGCACTGTGAACATTTCCATTGCCCTTCCCTCCTCCGAGCTCTTTCTGAGGTGTCTTCCATTTCCCCCCCTGTCAAGGTTAAGGCTTGATTGTTCCTAATTAAGGTACAGAGAATGTTGTATTAAACTGTACAAGCTGTAAATTCCCTTGAGGTAAAGGTGTGATATCAAACTATTTAAATAAGATATGCTTGCCTTCTCAAAACTAATTTAACTGTTGGTCGAAAAGGAAATTACAGCATTTCACTAGCTACAATTCTGAGATGTCAAGCATTGATAAGTTAACTTTACTTAACCCATATATACTAGAAATGTTGTTTGGATACGCTTCAAATTGCATTGAATTATTAATGAATTTGTGAAATTATTACATTGTTTCTCATTTGTAAGTAAGATGGTTATTTAAAGAATGATAAAACGCATGATCGTTATATCAATGCTATGTAGGGTGTTTCTTTCTTAATTTGTAAATTAGATTAAATAATAGGGAAACATCTTTATTAATGTGCTTTCCAGCTGTAGACAATGAATTACCACAAAGGTTGAAATCCCCGCTTCCTTCTCTCCCCAGCAATTCAAACCTAAGACTTCCCACACCACCTGAAGGCAGCATCGACGCGTTGGGCCCTGCCAGCCAATGAGAGCGGTGATTTGTTCGAGATGACCAATCAGCGACGGATACGTCTTACGGAGGCGAGTGAGTCAGGCGGCCCGCCCTTACGTTGTTTCATTGAAGAAGAAGAAGAGGGACGGTCTTTCACAACACCATCCTTACAAGAAATTCAGTCATGACGGCTAAACTTTGCAAGCTTTTTGTCGGTGGACTGAATGTGGAGACCACGGAGGATGGGGTCCGCACGTATTTCGAGCAATTCGGCGCGTTGACTGACTGCGTCGTGGTGATGAACCCGCAGATCGGCCGGTCCCGCTGCTTCGGCTTCATCACCTACTCGACACCGGAGGAGGCCGACGCAGCAATGGCGGCTAAGCCACATGTCGTCGAAGGCCATGAGGTGGATTTGAAAAGAGCCATAGCCCGAGAGGATGCAAACAACCCAGATATCCTCGCCAACGTGAAGAAGATTTTCGTCGGCGGTGTGAAAGACCACATCGAGGCGGACCACCTCACCGAGTACTTCTCGCAGTTCGGCGTGGTGGAGAAGGCCGAGATCATATCCGACAAGCAGACCGGCAGGAAGCGGGGATTCGGCTTTGTCTACTTCGACGACACCGACTCCGCCACTAAAGCGGTGCTGACCAAGTTCCACACCATCAGCGGAAACAAGGTGGAGGTGAAGAAAGCTCTCACCAAGCAGGAAATGTCCACAGGGAGCCGCGGGAGAGGCCGAGGCCGGGGGATGCAGCCCTATGGCGGTGGAAGAGGTGGAGGCTACGAAGGCGGCGGCTACGGCAGCAACTACGAAGGAAGCTACGGCGGTGGCGGCTATGGTGGCGGTTACAACGGAGGTGGCGGTGGAGGATATGGAGGGTATGGTGGAGGATACGAGGAGGCAGGGTACGACCAGCAGCAGATGGGGGGTGGGTACAGCAATGGTGACTTTGGGGATGGCTATGGACAGCAGCACTCAAGTTATGGTGCAGTGAAGGCGGTCAACTATTCCTACAGGAGCGCGGCTCCGTACACCAGAGGCACCGGCGGAGGAGGCTACGGCCGGGGGGCAGGAGGAGGTGGTGGTGGTGGATACGCCGGCTATTAAAGCCCCCCACAAGTTTTGTGATCATGGGGAAATTTCAGATTACAGCGAACTTGAATTTACATGCACACACACACACACACACACACACACACACACACAGACACACACACTGGGTGAGGGGGTCTTGTTGAGATCCTTTAAGCGAGCAGTACCCATCACCCCCCACAGGAATGAATGACACTGTCCTCTGGATCCCCCCACCCGGACCCCATCTGTCCCTCTTATTCCACACATAATGGACTTTACTACTAAGAATTGTGAATTGTTGAACTGTACTTTTTGTTATGTTTTTGGGGAAAGACTTGATTTGAAACATTTGTAAAGCCGTATTCAATGTCAGTCACTGCTTCTCAACTCATAATTGAGTTTGTGTGTCTTGCAAACCAGCCACACGTGTGTTATTTTTGCATCATGAACTCAGGGTTTTAGGTAATGTTGAAGGCAGTGTCTGCAGCATGGGGGACTCCATTGCTTGGGTTTTTTTTTATCTTAAACACTCGTGACAAAGTATTTTTGGGAGAAATGTCACGGATTGTTTGTTGTGTATAAATTACTTTTTTCCACCCGTCCCATTACAGGCTTTTGCTTAGATTAAAACTGTTTTGAAATCCATGTGTTCAGTTCACCCTGTTTGATTCTGCTTTTATTAAAGTTTTTAATGTTTTGAAACTCATTTACTCTTGCAGTCTTAATTGTGTGGGTTACTAATAATCAATGTAATGTAATAATCAATCTACCTTGTAGCACTGTATAGGCTTAACTTACATAAAATATGCTTTTGTAAAGTTAGAAATGATTTCACACGGTGTCCACCAGGAGGCCGTATTGCCTGTAAAGCCATGCATTTTCAAATCATCGGCCATTTTATACCGGCTGCATCACTTGGAAGCATAGTGTGCTGCACTTGAACTGATGTGGTCCTCTGGTGGCAGATTTTGTATTTTATTTCATGGATTTGCACAGTAACATTTTTCATAAAAGTAACATAACCGTAATCCCATTAAATGCCCTTTCAAATATACATATTTTTTATAAATATTTTCACAATGGGATAATTTTAACATGTAAAACTGAAAAGGTTGTTTTTTTTCTTACCATGTTTCAGTAAAGTTGAAAACCATCAAACGGGGAACTCCTATATCCTACTTTTTATATGTCATCCATTAGATTAGTTATGGTCTTTTACTTTCTAACTGCAATTCATGAATTAAATCAGGAGCTGTCATGCTTAGTGGCAGAGTAAACGTAAAGGTTAACATCTTCCTGCAAACAATAATAATCCTTTTGATAATGCACAAAATGGGTGGTGCATAAAGACTGAATGCTTCTCCATGTTACATTTTGAGTAGCTCTGACGGTAAGTGCTCCTGCAGACGGCCTGAGAGATCTGGTAATTCACTGTGAAGCACAATGCTTTTTCTAACCAACAATATTTTGTATTTGCTACATAGGACACCAATAGATTATTGTGTGTTATGTGAACACAATATAAAGCCTCTCTTCAAGACATTAGATGATCTAATAATGCCAGCTGAAATTGATATTGCATCAGTGTTGCGCATTTCCACCACAAATTACCTAAAATCATTGAATGAATCCAATTGAGTGCAATGAATATTTGTCTTTTCAGGGATCCATGGGATCTGAAGCTTATTGTTGTCCAGCTGGTAATTCAGCCTTGTCAGTGATAGTCACAACGTCTTCTATTTAAATAAACAGACATATCAAACCGCTAAGGGCAAGGACAGATAAAGATGTATGGGGACAGACACAACTGTTATGTGCACATGTGAAAAATAGGTTGATATAATTATATCAAAAGCACCAGTGACTTGCAACATAACTAAGATGTCAATATAAGTAAATTGTTTCTGCAATCTGTGAACAGTAAAAAATAGTTGAAAAAAGACTTAATGGGTCGATATGATTGCGTGTGTTCAGTTACAGCATCATTGTATGTTTTGTTTGGGATCGGACTGTTTGTAGAGGTTTAAAGAAATAATTAGGATTGAGGAATGTCGTTTTTTTATTTTACTTTTTTGTTTGTTGACCAAATCGATTACTTTAGAAACGAATACGCCAAATACTTGTTTTTACTACAGTCCCCCTTTTATTTGGAAGCTTTATATAAATGGAGGACAAAAAGTGAGCGAATCTTTTTTCCTGAAACTTTCAAAATCTCTTTACACAGAGGGGACACATGTTTATGTAGAAAAGACATGAACAAGTGGATTTTTGCATAAAAGGTGACCTTTAACAAGCAGCACAATACACACAGGATAAATCAACATGATAACTGCATGGCTGGGATTGAACCCACCACCTTCTGTCTCAAAGACAACAGCTCTTTCTACAAGCTGTTGTTCAGAAATGAAGTCATAGCCGGAATGTCCCACTCGAGATAACAGTTTTGTTATAAGAATGGAGGTTTTTTTTAAATGGGAAAAAAAACTGAAGTTTGGTAAAGTTGGAAAGGTACCAAGGCTTATTTCCATTAAAATAACAATTACAATAGTGTTTAAAATGGGGCCATAGATTTCTGTTTGCTGCTTTAAGAAAGAAACATACACAATACAGGACTTTTATTTTCATTTCCTTTATTATCTTTGTGAGTCTTCATGTTTTGAGAGATGTTGTTAGCCTAAAGAGGACACCCCCCATCTCCGAGGGACAAAACAATAATGGATGGTTCGAATCCCCAGACTGGAAGGACATTTTGGGCTGTATATACAACAAAATCAGTTTGGCCAGAAAACATCATTTAAAAAAGAAAAAAAGAAAAGTTGCTTAAACAAAATTCACAAAAATGCAATAAGAAAAATCCTTGACGCAAAAGCCTTTATACCTTAAACAGATGTTATTAATGTAGTTAAGATTGTATGGAAGTGTTAGGAGATGTTTGAAGTGATTTTGGTAGAACTTGACTTTATGACAGGGACGTTATTTAATATTGCATTGAAGTCTGCTTAGAAAGACAACAATTGAAATGGAGCTACACGGACTTGAGTGACAAGATGGTTTTTGTAGTCACATGATTGGAACATTTGAAAAGAGGATTCGTGTTAGTGGATGTATTTCTAAAAAATTAAAATGACACAATGACAACATTTCTTATATCTTCATAATCGTCTCTCGATTTGAAATGATTTGTATTTGTATTTAACCTGCTGTTCCTATTGGTCGGATCCATTGACATTAAAGCAGTGCTCTTGTTTTACATTTCTTTTTGCACGCTATTTTTCCGAACATATATAAGTTATACTTTTAAAAAGCGATGGGGACAAAATTGGCCATTTCAAAAAGTGGTGGGGACATGTCCCCAGCGCAAATGACGCCTATGGGAAAAGTACTAATAGCAAAATAATTGAAATACTCAAGTAAAATACAAGTCCCTCAAATGTGTACTTAGATAGGCTACTTGAGTAAATACTTTAGTTAGCCTACTTAACACCACTGCCCTTCAATGTGTCACCTTACCAGATGTCAAGATTTAAGATTGATCGGAATAAATGTGTCTTTTTACCATTATCATACTAGTCTGTGCAAATATGGTTTATACTGCATGCCCATGTTTTTAGATTCTGCAGTGAATCATCTCGGTTATACACAATCTTTGTACAGGCTCACTCAGCGCTCATGCCCGCTGCTGCTGCTTCTGACTCTGGGAGGATGGACGGTGTGTCGTTGCCGGGGTGAGTTGGCTCAGGGGGGATTATTTTGTAAGGCTGTGATTCAAGCTGCTTCTACATCTGTTGGATAACATTTTACCCCACATGATCCTCCGGACATAAACCCCACAGACAGTGCAACAGCTTTCTGCTAGCAACTCGAACTGAAGCTAGCCTTGTTGACTAGTTAGCTTCAGTTAGCTAGCACCGTTGGTTGCCCAGCTGGAGCAGTTGAGTTGCTAACCAACCTGCCAGTTACCATGTAGATAAACTGTCACCAAGAACATACTTATATACGGAGTGTAGATCGTCAACTAAAATATGACATTACTAAAAAAATTAAAGTTAGAATTAATGTGAGTTAACGAGAGCTATCATAAGCTTAGCAGTTTAGTTTAATGGTTGACAAAGCTAAGAGCTAGCCAGCCTTCCAACTTGACGCTCAAGAAACTCAAACAAACATAGTTTTCCATCTTTTAAAATGTTTGGCTATAAAGAGACAGTTCAGTCAGAGTCATGATTGTTTACTGATTTCTACCTTTGTGAATTAAAACAATACCCTTTGTCCTGTTGTATATTCCTATATATCTGTTGCTTTGGGGAAAGTATTCAGTATTTGTTTAATATTGTGTACACTTTGGATATTCTAGTGATACATGGCTTTTCATCTATCTATCTATCTATCTATCTATCTATATATCTATATATCTATCTATCTATATATCTATATATCTATCTATCTATCTATCTACCTATCTATCATGTGGCTTGTTAGTGCTGCATCATTATTATTCAAACTAACTAGTATGTGAACAAAACACTTTGTGAGAACAAAGTACTGTACATATAATCGTCTCTTTCATTAAACCAAGCAAAGGTCCCTTTATGTCAGTTCTTAGTAACGTTTTCACCTGCTCTCAGATTAGTGGAGTCTGTCACCATTGGTTAAAAGGGAAATGAAAATAAATAATTCACCTGATGTCAAAACGTTCACAGCTCATTAACAGTCTTCTATAAATGGTTTTGGATACTTTTGTATTATATGTTTTGTGTATGTTTCTGAGGAGGGCGTAAAGGGCTTATTTATCTACTATGCCATAGACACCATACTGCTGTTATTTTGACAAGACACCATCTTGTTATTGTTCACCTACTCCATGCCAAGATTTTAAGAGATGGGCAAACACATTGTATGGTTTTTAGTTTTCATGGGGTTTGGGGGTGTCCTTTCTTTCAGTCTCTCCTATCGCTTAAGAATATGATTAAAGGATGTGAGTCAAAGAATAGTGTCATACCATTTTTTGAAAACAAAAGCGGATCCCCAGTCAAAAAGACAAGCTTGAATGATTATGTAGTGCAGTGAGGAAAGAGACATCCATTAGATTATTGCATTAGCTTTACGAATAATGGATCTAAACATGGGCAATAAAGAAAACGACAATTTTACTACACTGATTAAACCCTTTTCCTACAGTGCAAACACATTTAGATATAAAGTAAGTGGGCTGTCGGCTGATTGAGGAAACACTTTATTGTAAATTAACAAACCAAAGAACCTATAATTAATTTAGGTTTGCTTATAAAGGTCCGTGTTAGCAGTGATCCCACGTATTTGATTGTTATCTCTCATAGAATAATAACACAATATTTACACCAGCTACCAAATAAGTTGATTTAAAACACTCAATTTGACTTTTACCAGTTATTCAGGGTTAAGTCCCTGTTTTATCATCATCTCATAACCCGAGAGATGAAACATAAACTGTGGGGTTGCCATTCATCTCTGCTGATTCTGCTTCTCTCATGTCTCAGCAGTCTGGTGGCTGCGCCGGCCTCGCCGCGTCCAAACTGCAACACGGATTCAGAGGAGGACACGATGAATGGAGGGCTGCACACCTTCAACCAGACGCACATGAGGAAGGCTTTCCAGCTCATGAACGAGCTGAGGAGGCGAGTGCCTGACGGTGTTGTTCGTTTCTTACAGAAAGAATGAGGCCACAAACAC